CCTGGAAATTAATCTGTTGGATTCACAAAATCCATAATCACAGAAGGGAATTTAGAATAACTTTATATTAACAAAAATACAATATTTTTCTTTGTTCTTTTGTTGCTGATTTTTTTTCTTTCTGAGACATGGTTTTACTGTGTAGCCCTGGCTGGCCTGGTAAGATATAGAAAAACTAAGCTGGATTTGAACTTACATAGTTCTGCCTGCCATCCTTGCCTAAGTGCTGGGATTCATGGCATGTGCATCTAGTTAAATAACGTGCTTGAAATTTTTCTGTAAGTTTTCTATTATTTTTGAATTGACAATGTAGATGATCATTTCTTTCTTCCTTTCCCTCCTTTCAAACACTCTTTATTCCCTCCTGGCTGTCCACTTTATTTTTTGTACACAGAGTAATTCTGCACTCAAATATCCTACGCCTTTATATATGGCCTGTCCCTTACAGATAGATAACCTTAAAGGTTTTGTTTAAAGATCGGGGAGTCGGAGTCAAGCCACTTAAGGCTACATTGACTAGATGTCCAGGAACCAGAAGCTGGATAGCCCAGACCGCTAGAATAGAACCAAAGATGACTGGTCAAAAATGAAAAAAGAAATGTCAATGAAATGATTCCTCCTTATATTCTGCTAATGATCATAAACCGGAGATTATTAGCATAGGCATTATCAGAAAGGCTTCCCGTAGCATTTGACAGGCGGAGATACAGAGATCCACAGCTAAATATTCTGTGGAGCCCAGGGACTCCTTTGCAAGTGAGGGGTGAAGAATTTAGGAGCCAGAGAGGTCAAGCATACCCAAGACCATGGCCCACAGAATCAACTAAGTAGGCCACATAGGGACTTGCAGAGATGGAACAGATGACCAAAGAGCCTGTAAGGGTCCTAGGAGTAGGTTATAATGGTTGTTAGCTTGGCGTTTTTGTGGGACTTCTTACAGTCAGAGTAGGTGTCTCTGACCCTTTTGTCTCCCCGCTTTTTGTCCTAATGTGAGAGTTTGTGACTATTGTACTGCCTCTTATTATGCTGTGTTCAGTTGATGTCCCTGGGAGGCCTGCTCTTCTCTAAAGGAAAATGGAAGAGGAGTAGATCTGGGACAGTGTGGGTGGGTGTGCTGAGGCGGGACAGAGACTGAGAGTAGTGGAGGTAGTGGAACTGCACTCAGAATGAAATATAGGAGAAAGGAATACATTTAAGAAAAAAATCAGAGAGCACTGATTGTTGTAGGAATTCATTCAGCCGAGGACTGGTACCTCAAAGACTATTGGATGACTGAGTCCCCACAACAACAGATTACATCTCTTGGTGTATCTTTGGACTTAGAACTGTCCCTTTATTAAAGTAGAAGAGTCCCCATCCATATGCAAATATAGGATGAAGTACATGTTACTTTGTTTCTAGAAAATTATCATAAATTATACACTTTACACAGAATATTTTCTTTGCTTTTATGTTCGATTTTTTATCCCACTCCAAGTGAAGAACAGTAAAATGATATTTTACCTAGTAAGTTCATATAAAACTGGCATACGGCATGTAATACAGAGGTTGCTTTTCTATTATTTCCTTTCTCCTAATAGATGTATAGTAATAAACTCCAATTAGCAAAGATCAGCTTGAAACATTCTGTTACACTTATCATATAAGTTTTTGCTTTTCAGAAAGGGAGTTGACACACAGAAGAGTAAAATTGGTCACAATTAGCAGTGTATATAAGGGAATAGGAAGTAGGTCACCTTAAGTTGCTTTTTGTTTTTATGGTTTTTTTTTTTTTTTTTTTTTTTTTTTTTTGTGAACGTTAGTGTGTGACCCATTAAGCAAAAGGAAACAGATACAGAAAAAGGAAGAAACATTCCTATTACATTAGGCAAGAGAAGTACCTCTAAATTTTTTGTCTTTGAACAACAGCTGAATCTGCTTTGGGCTGATACTCTTAAACTATCAAGATATGATTGGACTTTTCCTGGAGCAGCACTCTAGCTCTGTCCACAAATCTTATGTCAACAATTGTTAAAATAGCTATAAATTTTAAAATTGTAGAGAAAAGCCTTATTGTAATTATAAGCATTCTGCAGATCATATACATGGGATCCATGGCTTCTTCTATGATATCTCATGCATCTTCTAGTATGAATATGACCCCATTTGTCACTGAAGCATGATGATGGGGTGACAGTCTAAGAGGCTGAAGGGCATACATTGAAATAGAAAGTCTCTGTCACACCTTTTCATAAAACACACACCTCTCCGTGTTGTTTCCCAAAGAAAAGATTGCTCCAAATGCTGAGGAAGAGTTGAGAAGACAAGGGACAAGATTTCAATCAGATAAATTACTCATGGTAAAAAATATTGTGCTTATGATTTCACAGATATGAAAGCCCTGCTTTCTAATGATGAGACTCTCCCCAACAAATACAAGTATTTTATTACGGTTCACACATCTGATTCATGGATCACTAGTACAGAGGGATGACCAGAGATGCTGTGAATTCAACACTTCTAGCAGGAGGTGGTTTAGGGCTGCCCTTCCTCCGTGAGAACAGTTGGAATAAATAAAGTTCAGTTGGTAGACTGTAGTATCTCTTGCTCCTCCCTTGATGCACTGTAAGTTTTATATATACATACAACAACTAGAAAGAAAGGGCAGTCTCAAAGGCCTCCCTTTAGATAGCACATAGCATAGCTATTCTGGAACTTCAGGTATTTGTTCATTTCTAGTGATTATGTAAGCCTTTTGCATTTAATTGAAACAACCTGAGGTTTGTCAAGTTATCCTTCGTTTTCAGTAGGCTTTGTGGACTTTTTTCCTTAATTGTTCCATTATAATCATATGTTGAATCTATGTTCGAGGAGTCATTTTAATCTTCTGGCATTTCCTTTGCTATATTTTGAGTCATTTTCTTAGTGGTTGTCCCTGGAGAATAATGGAGCTTATAAAATGATATGGTTCAGAGTATGTTGACATAAGACAATAGGCTTTTGACACAGCTGAATTTCAACCCTGTGGCTTTGTACTACTTTCACCACAGTGTGATAGCTATTTTACATTTAATTATTTTAAAGCTGCACAGGAATGGAGAAGCGTCGCAAACGAATTGTGCACTTCCATCCACCCATTTAATGTTTACCGATGATGTTAAACTCTCTACAGCTCTTCAATGTGTGGATTCAGGTTGCTCCCTAGTGCACTGTCGTTAGTCGCCAGGTGTCTGCATTATTTACTATAGAGAATAAAATCCAGTTTGAATTCTTTCAGAGTTTTGTTGTTGTTGCTGTCGTTGTCTGAGAAGGTCTATGTTCATCACTCCTTACTAGAGAGAAGTATTTTGCACACAATTCTTCTCAGTGAGAATCCTTCTCCCCGACAAGTGTTACAATGATACTTCGTCCATCAGCTTCGAGCTTTGGTATTTCTGATTGGAAATCAACGATAAACCTTAGTGAAGCTTCCAGCATAAGGAAAGCCATTTTTTTTTAACACTTAGTAAACACTTGTCTTTCAATAGTTCACCTTTAGTTATGGTGTAAGGTGAAATCAATAATGAGTTAAATGGATCCTTGATGTGGAACTTTCTGTCCTCAAGTGGGCTTAACTCAGAAGTTAGAGTGCCAGAAAATCAAGGTCATACAAATAAATGTGTCATTGAATCAGCGGCTTTGGATCCTGTCTCTTGAACTGGAAGAAAGAACTTCATAGATACCAGAAAAGTGGCTTAAGAATGAACTTTTAATTACAGAAGTAAAGGTGTGAGCTTGAAAGAGATAAGGCAAAGCTCCTATATAGCAAGAATGGACCCTAGCATCAGAGTGTAGCTGAGATGCTAGGTTAGTGGTTTTTTCTAGGCCATGTCACATGTACTGCAGATAGGCCTAATGAGGTGTGTGGGTTAATATTATTGACCTAACCATGGAGTAACCAGGGGCTTCTCAGTTTTGATCACATTTTCTTGTATAGCTTCCAAGCAGTTGTGATCATCTAAATTATGTGAAAATAAACTGAAGATAAGAATAAACCGGAGTATAAATTATACCTTTTTAAATTATGGGTCTCATTTTTGCAGTTCTTTAAAATGTCATTTCTGCTTGTTTGAATATGCTCTTCCAATCTGAAACATAAAACTGGCTATTCTCTGGACTTTCCTTGTTGCTCTAACTGTTGCTTTCATTTTAAAATTTTTGCAATAGTAAATTTTTTTCAGGCCTCTGTTGCTTTTCCTCTGTAGGTACTGAGCTCACTGACCAGCTAAATTTGCAGGAAAGGTTCTTTTTTATTCTGTTTTTATTATTATTATTATTTAATATTTTTTCTTATTTTACATATCAATCCCAGTTCCCTCTTCTTCCCATCCTCCCATGCCCCCCAACGTACCCCCATCCCATTCCCCATCCATTCCCCAGGGTGGGTGAGCCCTTTCATGAGGGATAATCAAAATCTGTCAAGTCATATGGGGTACAGCCTAGGACCTCTCCTGTGTCTCTAGGCTAAGGGAGTAACCCTTCCATGGGGGATGGACTCCTGAAGTCCTTTTGTGAACTAGGGATGCATCCTGTTTCCACTGCCAAAAGTCCCATAGACTTCCCAGTCCTCCTAGCTAACACCCATCTTCAGGGGCCAGGTTTGGTCCTAATTTGGTTCCCCAGTGGTATCCCTAAGCTCCCATTTGTTCAGGCCAGCTGTTTCTGTGGGTTTCTCCAGCCTGGTCTTGACCCTGTTGCTCATCACTCCTCCCTCTTTAAAAATGGATTCCAGTAGTTTGGCTCAGTGCTTAGCTGTGGATCTCTGCTTCTGCTTCCATCAGCTACTGGAAGAAGGCTCTGGGATGGCATTTAAGGTAGTTATCAATCTCATTATTAGGGAAGAGCATTTAAGGTAGCCTCTCCACTATTGCTTAGATTCCTAGTTGGGTCCTTGTGGATCTCTGTACAATTCCCTAGTGCCAGATTTCGCTTTAAACCTATAACTGCTCCCTCTATTGATGTGTCTCTTTTCTTGCTCTCCTGTGCTTGCTTCAGCAGCATTCATACTAAAATTAGAATGATACACAGACGATTATCATGGCCCCTGCACTTGAAAAATTCTTGAAAGGCATAGAATTAGTAAGTCGTCCCACATTTTCTCTATAGTAGGTATTTCCCCAGGTTTTTGGGAAGTGTCTTTCTTAGTTTTCACTCCCTGCTTGCCCAGACCTTAAGGACAATGATAAAGGACAGAGGATTCTCAAGTCTCATGGTTATGCACTCAAGTCTGTAAAATCTATGGGAGGTCTGATAGAGCTGTGACAATTCTTCTATAAATAAAACACTCAAAAGTTTCCTACTCCGATAGTTTTGCTCTTCCTTTTGTTCCGTCTTATTTGTCTGTCTCATACTGATGAGAGTTTGAAAGTATCCACTTTAAAAATAGGATTGCCCTGAGTACAGGGGAGTTCCCTGCACATCAGCTGTAGATTAGACCAAGACAAACACTAAAAATGAAGCGTTTAATGGGAGCTGGGTGCCGATTCCACAGGGACAATACTCTGGAACTGGGGCTTACCCCTCCCCTCCAGTAGGTGTTCAGCTACTCTTGCCTGCAGTTACCATCACAGAACATATGTTACTTTGAGGGTGTAAAGGAAGTAAGGCAGGCGTTCAGGAAGAAGCAAGTTAAACTGCCACTAAATTGCCCCTGCCATTCAGACCGAATTCAGGATAGAAAGTCAAGGAATAGAACATGGGAAGAAAAAGAATCCCAGGCTGCACTTGAGAAGTCTCTTGCCAGCAGATAAACAGGAATTCCAGACTATTAAATCACATTTTTTTTTTGTGACAGTTTCTGATATAGAGGCAATGTTTCTTTCAAGAACATTAAAATAACAATAGACCCAGTGTGAAGACTGAACATAGCATAGGCCTAGCTCCTATCTGTGATATTTTCTCAAAATTTCACAACCATGACTATTAACTTCGTTGACAGTGCCCTTCCCTTCCTGACTGTTTAGGTCCTAGAGATTTTCCTGATTAATGGCAAGCCTTTTGGGTATAACCCCAGGAACCACCTATTTAAATTTTATTTAACTATCCTTTATTGATGATGTCAGAAAATACCCATTCATCAAAATGTGCCTATAGTAAACACGATGAAGTGTGACTATCCTTTGAGAAGTTTATATTTACTCTTATATGAGACCCACTTTCTTCCAAGGCATTTCTGTTTCTTTTAATCTTGGTGCTTATACCAAAATCTCTTCTAATAAACTCCAGCTCTGCTTGGTATTGACTCACCCTGGAACTGTTTTCTGTGGTTACATCAAGAAAATGGCTTTATCTGAGTAGCGGTCTCTAAAGTAGGGAGAACACTCTTCAGCCCATTGGTAGCAGCTCTGGCTTGTGTGTCCCACTGCAATGAGTATCATGGCAGATTTATTTTCTTTGAATGAAACTTCTCTGACTGCTGAAAACCTTTAACTACTTTCTCAGAACCTTCAGGATTTTGCCAGTTTTCATGGAAAGGATTTCAGATGCGTTTCCTTTCCCTCGTTTCTGACTGTGTTTTGATTTTCAATGCAAGATTCCTGGGATTTGGTTCTTTCCCAACTTTATTCTTATGTCTCAGTTCTGTGAAATAGGCCAGTACAATTTTTTAGACAGTCTCCTATCTAGTTCTGATGAAGGTGTTGAAAATGAAGTAATTGACTGGTAAGTTCCCTCTTGCACTTAGTTGCTAAAATGACATCATTGTTTTTCTTTTTGGAAGGTTAAAAAGAACGTGTATAATTACTAACTCCAGGCATCAATTTGCAGTTTTCATTTTAAAGATAAGGTATTATGAACCCTTCCTCATTGCATGATGAAATATTGATGGGTTCAAACTTGTTCCAGTCTTGTGCAGGAAACCACAACTTCAGTAATTTCCTTGTTTTGTCTCATGCACAAAAAAAAAAAAAAAAAAAAAAAAAAAAAAGCCATGGGGGTGGGGGATGAAAATGTAGAATGTAGATGAAACAACAGGGCCACCATCATTGATATTTGGAATGAGCAAAGATGGTGAACATGTTATATCTAAGGAACAATAAGAATTTATATATGTAAATATAGAGTTATGCAACTAAGAATCGTTTTTGTCAAAATACCACATTTCCATGATTTTTGTATATGTGTATCACTCAAACCGTGGGCGTGTCTATGTGTGTCTGCCCACCTGCTTTTACCGAAAGTGCATAATAGCTGTTGAATTTGCCTAAGCTTCCTTATAGTTTCTTTTCCATGCTCGCTCCTTGTACTCCTGCTCTGGCTTCTGAGCTCTCATCTCACACCAAGGAAACTATTTCACAGCAGTCTTCCTCAACCTCTTTTCGGAGAATTAAATGAGAGCGGCTCTCATAACCTCATGAATTTGAATGCTTCTTATGAAGAAGTGAAATTGTCTGGGTAGGATTTGGAGGTATATCTTTGTTCAAGGAGGTATGTCAAGTTGTTTTCTTGTATCTGTACATTATCAGGGAATACTGGTAAAACCACAGATTTTTCTAAAATTATTCCTTTTTTTTTTTTTTTTAGAAAAATACTTAATAATTTTCCTATCTCTCAAATGACACATTTACATCATTGACATTTACTTCCTTGACTATTTTAAAACCTTGGTTTCTTCTCATTTTTATTGACGAATTAATCTGTTATCTGTTTCGTGGTTTTTTTTTTTTTTGTTTGTTTGTTTTTTTTTTTTTTTTTTGGTATTCTTTCATACTTATCCTGTTTCCTCCATCCTTATTTTTAGTGTATTTTAAGTAATTAATTTTTGTTTATGATTTTATTTCTTTTCATTCTTCATTTATTTTACTATTTGTATTGTGAAGAACACTTTTCTTTGATGTAACCCTTCATGATCTTCAGGCCAGGGATATTCCTTTCGCACATTTGATTTTTTGCTTAATTTACAATACATACTTGAAAACCTAATCCTGTGTTTTTAAGTGTATTGTACCTATTTACTTCAAACTATGAAATGTATTTTGTAAAGTTCTATATACATTTTTCACATTTAGAACTAGAAGTTGGCATATTTCTTCTATGCTTCTACTTTTCCTCTAGATATTTGATTATATATATGTGTGTGTTTGTGTGTGTATGTATGTATGTATGTGTACACACACACAGCTTTCAAGCAATTCTAAATACGATGCATATTTGTCTAGACGTGAACATGTTCATGATGTGAATGCATTTTGCTGTCATCATTTTGGCCTGACTGGAGCCAGGAGGTTGTGGTTGGAGAATTCTTGTGGACTTGGTCTTAGCTGACTGCAGCTCTGCTGATGAGCAGTTGAGACTCTGTAGTTTTAGTCACACACTGATCACTGGCTATAGTATAAAACAATCACATCAGAAATTACAGACAAATACTAATGACTTTCAGTGATTGATTTATTAGTGTTTTTCATGAAGGAAGCATGAAAAACTGCTCAATAAGTCTACATTATGCACACTGCCCACACATGAGATAATCAGACATCTCAGTCGTAGGAGTAACACTGAAGTATCATGTTGGCATTCCAGTACCCATTATTTCATGTAGTAATGGCAAAAAGCACAAGAGAATTCACATCAGCAATACAATAAAGGCAAAGAACAACTCCAAACTTCTTCTTTTGAAGGTTGTCTCACATCATCATGAGAATAGCACAAGATTTGGAAGCAGTGAGACACCACAGTCAAGTCATCTTCCTGTGATTTGCTGCTGTAATCCTTCCATTTTATTACCTGCCATCACTGATCATCATGTATAAAACGTATTTATAAAGTAGATTTAACCATAGGGGTACATTTAGCTAAAATAAGGTATGTATAGTATTTGACACAGCTACAGCTTCAGACATATACATCCACAGATAACATTATATAGTCCAATCAGCATTTCATGAGAGTGTTGGAGATCATGCCATTTGCATGTGGATTGTAGACCCTACTATGGCTTCGACATATTTCATTATAAGTTAAAATTGAAATAAAATAATAATTATGTACAAAATTCACCATAGACAGGAGTTAAGTAACAGGGATGTTTGAGGAAGTTTGTTAGTGAAGCAAATATTCAATTACTGTAAGAAAGAACTGATTATATATTACCCATAAAGAAAAAAAAAAAAAAAAAAGAACAACAAAAACCAAACCAAAACAAAAACCTAACAGGCAAATGAACCAATGCAAAACAAACAAAAAACTAAACGAGGACTTCGCAAATCTTAAGATCTCAAAAATGGAGATTTTTTTTTTTTGTTTTTATTTTTGCTGTTGAGGTTCTTGTGAACTGATGGCTGATCGCCAACGATCATATTCAAAGCCTCAGGCTGTCAGGCACTGGCAACAATTTCTTGGGAAAGTAGGAGAAATGCTGCATTAGTCATGCTCTTGACAGCACAGAAAATGCTATTATGTATCAAAAAAAATCTTAGAATCTGGAAAAACAAAAATGGTGAAGAGGGATCTGACTGCATGAAGACATTTTAGCAACATGGAAGCCTGTCATTTTACTAAAAGTCTGTGTGATGGTTGAAAAACTTCAGTTACCAAAATCTATGTTGAACCTAGACAAGTCTATAGAACTCATCTCAGTTGTTACCACATAAGACCTCTGGGAGGTGAAAAGGCATTGCAAACCAATTTTTTTCCCTTTCTTACATGAATCACTGAGTATTGGACTAAAACATCACTATGCTTTTAAACTGATTTTTTTTCTTTCTGATAAATATATTCATTGTCATTATTTATGAAATTAATTGCTTTGTTCATTTGTGTTTATTCTCATAGTTTTCTATAATTGCAGTTTCCACATTTATTAACTTTTTAATATAAAATGTTTATTTTCATAAAAATTAACGTTGACAATTTTTTCCACGTCTTATTTAGTTTCATCAATTAGCTTACTTAAATCATTTTAACATTTCCTTAATTGCATTTAATAAGAACGTTTATAACAAAAGTGCTGTCATTTCTTTGGACTTAAAATATAGTTAGTTGAATTGACTATCAGCAGTGTAACTACTTCTGCTTCTTTGTTTTTGTTTGTTTATTAACTGACCAGATTACAAAAATACCACGGACAACCCCTTAGTTCATCCGTCTAATAAG